CCTTCGACGAAAGCACGGAGCAATGGAGCTCATATACGGAGCGTTTTGGATATTTCGTTGCGGCTAACGACATACAGGATGCTAAACTGGTGCCCATTTTTTTGAGTGTGATAGGCCCAAAGACTTTTACCCTGCTAAGGAGCCTGCTACAGCCAGCAAAGCCAGGCAGTAAAAGTTTCACAGAGATCGTGGACACACTGACCAAACACTTCTCGCCCAAGCCCCTCGTGATCGCTGAACGGTTCAAGTTTCACAAGCGAAACCAAGAAGAGGGTGAGTCTGTCACAATGTTCGTTGCATCGTTACGCAAATTAGCTGAACACTGTGAGTTTAAAGATGTTTTAAATGACACATTAAGAGACAGACTCGTGTGTGGTTTAAGAAATGAAGCTGCACAGAAGAAATTGCTCACGGAAAGTGATTTGACTCTTGAGAAGGCAATTAATATCAGTGTGACCATGGAAATGGCATCAAAAGAAGCCCATGCGCTACATGCTACAGACAGAGTACACAAACTAGACAATGGTAAAGCAAATGCACAGGGACCATGCTTCCGCTGTGGCAAGTTAGGACACCTTGCTAGTGATTGCTGGTGCAAAGAAATGGATTGCAACAACTGTGGAAAAAAAGGTCATGTAGCACGGGCATGCAGGAACAAAAGGTGCAAGGATAAGGGCTCAAAGCCTGGAAATAAAAGAGGCACTGCAAGATTCAAAAAAGAAAGACATGTTCACACAGTTAAGCTTCATGAGGATAGAGCAAATGACTCCTCAGATGAAGAAGTGTTGTCTGCAATAAATACTGTGCGAATACTGAAGGTGGATGAAACCTCAGACGGCTTTTGGGTCACGCCCAAACTGGAGGGACATGTTGTAAAAATGCAGATTGACACTGGGTCAAAAGCATCACTAGTGTCATATAATGTCTATAGGACATGTCTGAAGCACCTTCCACTCAAACCCTCCGACACAGTATTTAAAGGATATACTGGACATCGAGTGCCTATGAAAGGAATGGCAGAGGTGACTGTTCAATACAATGGCCAAACTGCTAAGCTGCCTGTGTATGTTACGCAGAAGAACTGCCCTGCTATAATGGGACGTGTGTGGCTCAAAACAATCAGACTCAACTGGCAAGAGGTGAGAAAGCTGTCGCATGGTTCCTCTCAGCTACAGGCCATACTGGGAAAACACCAGGAGGTTTTTCGTGAGGAACTGGGCAGCATGAAAAAAATTACAGTGAAGCTGCATCTCAAGCCTGACTCCAAGCCAGTCTTTATGAAGGCTAGACCTGTGCCGTACGCCATTCGGCCCAAGGTGGAGTCTAATTTAGACGCATTGGTCAAGAATGGTGTTCTGGAGCCGGTTACGACCAGCGAGTGGGCCACGCCCATCGTTCCAGTTCCTAAAAAGGACGGCGGAATCCGGATCTGCGGAGACTTCAAGGTATCCGTGAATCCTGTATTAACAGCAGAGCAGTATCCCCTTCCACTGATTGATGACTTATTTGCTGGTCTGAGTGGAGGACAAAAGTTCAGCAAAATAGATCTCAACCAAGCTTACCTGCAAATGCACGTTGAAGAGCAGTCACGTGACATGTTGACTATTAACACACATAAGGGACTTTTCAGATTTTGCAGGTTGCCTTTTGGCATCACATCAGCTCCAGCATTGTTTCAACGAGCGATTGATCAAATCCTGAGCGGATTACCTGGTGTGCAATGCTATCTGGATGATATCCTGTGTACAGGAGCAGATGATGAAGAGCATCTGCGCAACTTGGATGCGACCCTTCAGAGGCTGAAGGAATACGGATTGAGAGTCCGTAAGGAGAAATGTGACTTTTTCCAGTCATCTGTGGAATATCTAGGGCACGTGATTGATGCAAATGGACTTCACACTGCACCTTCGAAGATCACAGCAATCGTGGATGCACCCCCACCACGAAATGTCAGTCAGTTAAAGTCTTTCTTAGGGCTGTTGAACTACTACGGACGGTTCATACCCAACTTGGCATCACTCCTGAAACCACTGCACAACCTGCTACGCAAGGAAGAAGCATGGGAGTGGACAGCAAGCTGCCAAGAGGCCTTTCAAAAGGCAAAGGATTCACTGACTGCATCTGAGGTGCTAACCCACTTCAATCCCAAGTTCCCAATTCAGCTTGCTTGTGATGCTTCTCCCTATGGGGTGGGGGCAGTGATTTCCCACATTCTCCCAAATGGCGAAGAAAGGCCAATTGCATTCGCATCAAGGACATTAAACACAGCAGAGTCCAACTATGCTCAGCTGGAACGAGAGGCGCTGAGCATTGTATTCGGTGTTCGGAAATTCCACCAGTACCTGTACGGTAGGAAGTTTACACTGTTTACTGACCATAGGCCTCTCACAACCATCCTGGGACCCTATACAGGGATTCCATCTCTTGCTGCTTCACGTCTCCAGAGGTGGGCGTTGATATTGTCAGGACATTCTTATGACATCAAGTATCGCAAATCGGAGTCTCATTGCAATGCAGATGGGTTGTCCAGGTTACCCCTTCCTGTTAAAAAACCCGTCTCTGACACAGTTGAGATCCTCTACTTCAGGGAGGTAGAGACAGCACCTGTTTCGGCTGTGCAGGTGAAAAAGGCGTCCAGAAATGACCCTGTGTTGGCAGCAGTGCTGGACTGGATCATTAAGGGTCTGCCTGCAAGTAAGGGTGTAGACCTGAAGGCTTTCCTGGGAAAGCGGGCGGAGCTTTCTGTTCAGGCGGGATGTTTGCTGTGGGGGAGGAGAGTCATCATTCCCATGTCATTGCGACCAAAACTGTTGAAGCAACTGCATGCAGGACATAGTGGAATAGTGAGAATGAAGGAAATAGCGAGAAGCTATTTTTGGTGGCCAAATATGGACAAACAGATTGAGGAGATTGCTAAAAACTGCTCTTCGTGTCAGATGGTCCGGAACAACCCACCACTTGCTCCTCTCCATCCCTGGGAGTTCCCACAGGAGCCATGGCATCGGGTACACATTGACTTTGCAGGTCCATACGAGGACAAAATGTTTCTTGTAGCTGTTGATGCACACAGTAAATGGCCTGAAGTGACCATCATGAAATCAGCCACCACTGAAAAGACCATAGAAGCTCTAGGAGAAATGTTCAGTAGGTTTGGATCTCCTACTCAGATAGTCTCTGACAATGGACCTCAACTGGTTTCACAGGAAATGGAGGCTTTCCTACAGGCTAATGGAGTGCAGCACATTACGTCAGCTCCATACCATCCTGCAACGAATGGTCTTGCAGAAAGGTTTGTTCAGACAATGAAACATGCACTGAAAACATCACAAGGCCAAGGAACACTGCATCAGAGACTGCACAAGTTTCTGCTTAACTACCGGAATAGTCCACATGCTACCACAAGGACATCTCCTGCCAACGCAATGTTCAAAAGAGATCTGCGCACTACCTTTGATCTTTTGAAACCCTCAACTGTGAAGGACACTGTACAAAAACAACAAGAGAAACAAATCATGTACAGGGGTCAAAAGGTCAAGGACAGAGTCTTCAGCACCGGCGAGTCAGTGCAGGCCAGGAACTACCGAGGAGTACACAAGTGGGTTCCTGCAACTGTCATTGCTCAAACTGGTCCAGTTTCATATACAGTTCAGGTGGCCGATGGAGTCTGGAGAAGACACGTGGATCAGCTACTCCAGTCCGCACCAGTGTCTGCAGAAGGGTCTTGCGGAGATCTTGAAAATGCACTCATCGACTCGTCAGCCCCTTCACACACACAAGTAGAGAACTCCACCACATCAGGAACAGTGGTTCCACCTGTAAATGAGACTGTAAGAGAGACTGAGACATCTTCGGTGTCAGGAACAAAGGCTCCACAAGAGAGCACACAGACTGACGTTACCACAGACCGCCGATACCCCAATAGAGAGCGGCGGCCTCCTGTTCGTCTGAGTTATTAGATGGCACCTGACCCAAATGAACGGGGCAGAATAATCCCCATGGGTCATGGGGGAGGTTGAGGTAGTCCACCCTCACTCCCCAAGATAGCAATTAAAAGAGTTGGTGTTGTAACCTTACAGTTAATAAGAGGTGAAATGTTTGTGAGGCTATTACTGTCATGTGCCAGTGAAGACTGAAGTTTGTGAGTAGATCACCTGTTTATTTCGTAGTACATCCTTTGTAAGAGGGGAGGAGATGTTGTGTATTTTGGGTTATAACAGGACCCGTAGCGGTCATGCCCAGATGCATTATGGGAAAATGATGCTTTTAGGCTGTTGCTCGGGCTAGCTCCATGTTAAGTTATGCCGTTATAATAAATCCTCAAGTTACGTCGTGGTCCGAGTATCATTGTTATACTAGTAACCCGGAGTGAAGATATAACACTTAGATAACTTAAAAATGTTATTGTTTGGCTTTTTTAAGTATTTTATTTGTTCCTGAGTAAATCGGTTTGGCTGAGATTAAAGTTATAGTTTTTACACAGCTGAATAAACGTCAAGCAGACAACTGATTATCAGAAGTGTGAGATGCTCGAGAATATACTCCGGTGTCCTGTTATATTTTAGATAGCAAGGAGCAGACGGCTGAGTTTATTAATCTTCACCGAGACAATCTGCAAATTTAATTAAAATTTAATAAACTATCATCTTGTCTTTATTTTTAGTTAGCACATACCTTAAACACTTCAAGCTGTAAGCTAATGATAGTTATATAAGAGCAGATGCATGCTGGTGCAATAAGCTGTACGTTTTACGTCCAATGGATGCATGATCTGATTAGTCGACTGTTGTGGGATTTCTCTTTAGTGTATTGTCCTTTAATGTATTGTCTTGATGAAATGCTTTCATGTTACTTAGTTTAGTACGTCTGGTTCACACCTCATTCACGCCGAGAAACAGATGGTGAGAAACTGGTGAATGTCTCCCAGGAGACGGAAGCTCACACAGGAAGACTTGACCCCAGAGTGGGGGAGATTCACACAGGTGATAGAGAGTTTTTCTGTTTAGAGCCAAGGTGTGAACTGCAACTGTAAAAGCCTTTTGTTCTGCGACTGTGTATAAAAAGGGACCTGAATTGTTCATTGTCAGAGACGACTTTCAGTGCCCCCTGACTGACGTCCCTCCTTATGCATGAGATAGTTCAGTTCAGTTCAGTTCTTTTTTATTTCAAACATATACATTCACCAACGTTTCATAAAATCATTCCATACAGTTGTTTGAAAAGGAGTAGGCAGAAGTATATACTTATTTAGCCCTACCCCCTCAGGTTTACATCCTCATCATCTAAATTTGAACAACAAAAACGTATACAATCGCCTTCAACTTAGAACATAACATCACTCTCTCAATGCCAAAACTGTTGATCTATTATTTCTAAACCCATACTGGCAATTTGCCAACAAATCATGTTTATCCACAAAGCTATTAAATCTTTTTAGAAATAGTTTTTCCAGTATCTTAGAAAACTGGGAGAGTACCGACACTAGTCTATAATTTGTAAAACAATGCTTTTCACCTGATTTATAAATAGGAATAATTTTTGCAACTTTCATTTTTTGTGGAAAAAATTGAAAGTTGCAAAATAGCTGAAATAAAGGTGTTGTTACATCTCATCGTGTCTGCAGGCTTTGGTAATTAAAATTTCCACAACATCGACTAATCGCAAAAATAATCGGTGACTAGTCGACTATCAAAATAATCGTTTGTGGCAGCCCTACCACTCCCCCAGAGATTTAGGCAAACAGGGTTTTTCTCAGTTTCTTTAAATAACAGTTGATTTTGTCTCATTTCTGTACAACTCCTTTTTAGAATTTCTTTGCATAAAAAAGACACCAACCAGCAGAGACAGAGTTCCACCTGTTTAATGAAGATGTGGCTGCAGCAAAGGGAGAGGTGGGCTAGAGGCTCCAGACAATGAGCACCTTCGTTATCACTATAGGTGTAGATAGGTGTGGCATCAAAGAAAAACAACCCACTAGGAATATTCCAGATCCTAATCCAACAGCTGGAAACAGCAAAAGAGAGCAACTGACGTTGAGAGAGTAGCCCTCACTGAACTGAAAACACAGAAGGACGGAGGGAGAAGCTAGCTACTGTCTGGTATGCTGAATGGCAAAAAAAAAGGGGCAAGGAAAGCTGTACAAGCCCAGCACCTTCATCGCAAACCAGTTCGGATTTGTGCTACTGGGACAGAAGCACAGTGGTCACCTGTTTTTCTCAACTGAGACAATTAATAGCTACACAAGATAATGACCCCAAGCAGCAAATTTACAGCATGGAAGTCCAGACCTCAACCTGACTGAAATGCTGTGTATAAAGGAATGCTTGCAAATGTCATTGATTTGAATTTATTGCTGCTAACTGCTGGTTCTGTTAACGACTCAATCATAGAATGATGTCTCCACGGAGGATTTAGGCTGTCATCTGCTGAGGCCAGCTGAGGCTAAGAGGTAACAATCTTACCGCCGTCGTTTAGCCGCTCCGGTTCTGAGTGCCAGGACCCTCCGTCCTTTCGCCTGTCGGGACCGGGACGGCCCCCGGTTCTGGTCGGTCCAGCTGCCTGCAGTCTCCGTTTTCCCTGCTGCTGGCGCTACTGACGATTAGCTGTGGCGTTCGTGGGTGCACGCGGGAGACAGCGAGCAGGCACGGAATCAAGGATCAGAGGATGGCCCTCTGCTCGGACGAGGCTTTTCAGGAACTATTACAAAGAATCCACGACATGGAAATGAAAATCCGACGCCTTGACGAGAACGCCAAAAGCAAAAGCAATAAAACTCTGCCGGTGGCTTACGGCAAGCAACAACCAGGCGGATCAATACTGTTAAGAAATATACTCTAAAACACTTCTTCAGTAAAGACTCAGAGAAGAGAAACACACAGAACTTCTTGCTAGCAAGGGCAGCCTCCAGCACTGAGGCTCGCGCTGAGAAACTGCCCCGGTCTTTATTTATACTTCAGTGAGCGTTTGTTCCTTACATTGGAATGTGGAGGTGTACGTGTGTGTGTGTGTGTGGGGTCAGAGTGTGACCCCATAAAGACTTCCCTAAACCTGCTGGTCTCGAAGTCCAGCAGTTCATCAAACCAAAAAGCACTTAGACCCAAACAGATATAGCTACTTTAATCCTACCGTAAAACAATAAGACGGCCTCTCTCATGCTCCTAGGATGTGGGGGTGAACACCCTAGAATGTTACAGACCTCCTAGGATGAGACATTCTTTCAATATGCCACCAACTATATACTTCTACACACAAATGATTATATGCAGCATTCTACCACATGCAAACTTATATCATTAAAGTATTATACTGACTACTAAGTACAATTTTCCTATTAACAAATACCATCAACACAGAGTGGGACCCCTCCGAGCGGAGGACGTTTGTTGGGAGGAACTCCCCATTCATCAGACCTTTGTCCCCCACTTAGATGGGAGACTCCCAAGAAGATAAAGGAACATCGAAAGACACTCCAACAAGAAACAACTTCGATTATTCCTCTAAAAAATAGATTTGGGCCTCTCAGCTCATCACCGTCCAGCCCGCAACGACTGTCAGCTGCAGAGTGAGGTCACCGGAATGTAAATAAAGATAAAACAAGCCACACGAAATGTGCAAAGAGAACAGAGAACAGCAAGCGAGGGAGAGCACATCAATCAAAGGAATTGAACAGCTATGCATCAATACTAGTGTCTTTAACCCTTTATAGCCGATCGGAGCGGGCACGCTCCATTTTGCGTAACTATTTTTAAATCCCGGTAGCTCTGCAACCACGTAAGCTAGCGCAATAATTTTTTTTGCATATGAAACCGGAGGAGTTGTACTTACATCTTATGCCATCAGCTTGTCCTAGGTCACAGTTTCCTTCCACATATAGCTTTGCAAAAACTGCATAAAAATCACTTGCAGCAACAAAAACATGATATTCCAGAAACACGCTTTGCCGATCCGATCAGCTGTTTGTAACACTTCCTACGTCCATCAGCGTGAACTATCACATGACCGCATGACCTGCCCGAAACCGGAAGTGACGTCATTTTGCGGAAATGTAGTTTTTTTACGATCGGGGCCTTATGAGCCTATACTTGTGTTTTAAAAAGTTATGTTTGAGTTTATGACTTTCTGTGTCGTTTCTGGGATGCTTAGGACTCATATTGCACTGCTGGAAATAGTTTATTTTGATGCATATGCTGTTATTTTGCAAATTTGCACTATAATATTTATTTTCGTTTTTCCTGCAGTATATAAAAATTGGTGTATTTCAAAAATAAAACTATGAAGACACTCAAAATAAATTTCCTGTGGTGGGAAACTAGTTTGTGCAACTTTTTTGTATTTACAGTTTTGAGGGATAAGCCTCTTAAATTTCTCTAACTAGAAATATATGTTAAAAAAACAAAAACGATTTTCAATTTTTTTGTAGTTTATTGCACTTTTTTGCAATTTATGTAATTACTATGCACCTAATGCAGACATATTATTAAAGTTTGGGCTATAATGGTTGTATTGATGTATAGCAACTTGAAATGCTCCCAAAAATGGCTCCACAGCATGTAAAAATATAATATAAGCTCTGGCGGACTTGGTTCTATGGTAGGTCTTAAAGGGTTAATTGTCCACAAATGACAGTAAAAGAAATTTCTGAGAGGATTCCATCAATTATTGAGAATAACCCAGAGCTAGAAAAAGTTGTTGTTCATGCTGGAGCTGCTGACATCCTTTTGAAAAAATTCGAAAATTTTAAAGAAAGACTTTTTGGATTTACTTCAGAACTTTGACAACCACAAGGTGCAACTCCACGTATCTGGACCGATTCCAGCAACGCCCTACGATGAAGAATATAGCAGGGTGAAATCGTTCAGCAGGTTTGTTAAAACTGTCTGTGCTGAAAGGTCAATTCGATATCTAAATAATTTTAAGATTTTTTTTGTGGAAGGAAGCACCTGTTTACAAGAAACGAACGTAACATTAATAAGAAAGGTCAGAGGCTTTATCTTCTGAACTTGTTGTCTCACGTGAACTCATTGCCCTGTTCTCAAATTGAGATAAAGACGTCAGTATCAGCGAGACACACAGTGGACGCCAACCAGCTTTATCACACAGAGACCATGACGTACTTGCACCTTTCAGTGATAAGCCTGCCAGAGACGTATCAGCCGACCCAAAAACAATGGCACCTGACGACTCTCAAAAGAAACACAGAGTTTCAGCAACGCTGTGCAGAAACACATCAGTTGACATAGCTCAAGCAGCTGAGTTAATATGCCAGCCCCCAACAACTTCACTTCCAGCAGAGTTTACA